ACTTTGTAGGCAAACCAATAAAGATGAAAAGTTAATAAAGTTTACTGATAGAGACAGAAGTCTGTGGCTGCCACGAGTGTAATTTAGGGAACGGTAACTCATGCCCATGCAAACAGTGTTATGGTTGGCGACAAATTCCAAATCACTTTTCTTAGGAAGGCTGTTGGATACAAAACTTGTGTGGATATAAGCTTACCACAAGTAAATCAACTTCTGGATTTGTTACAAAGGGGGCAAAAAAGGCCTACTTGCCTAGGGTTGGGGGTAGAGTGACTGAGAAGTGCACGTACTATACTGTGAGTAACACAGGTGTTAACATTAACAGGCAAACTGTACAGGTAAGACCTGTATATTGCAACTTGAACTAAAAGCCAAGCCACTCCCAAAGAACAAAGCAAGGTGCCTACCCTTTCATGAGTCAAATCTGTAATTATTGGAGTGTGGGACCAGCGTGGCGCAGCACCCTGCAGAGCACTGTGAATCGGAGAGGAGGGTATGCCCAGGCAGTGTGGGCGCCTGGGCAAGGATTAACTGATTTTGACTTAGAAGATCCGATTCCAGGGATTAAGGACCTGAAATTAATTTCAGAAGCCTTCTCTGCAAGACAGCTGGTTAGAAAATGCAAAGCACTGCATTTTACCAGTCACTGCAACCCCTACTCTTTCCTGATGCTGAGGCGAATGCTTGGTGTCACCAGGCTCCGGGTTATCCCTCAGTGCCAGCCTCAGTTCAGAGGCACCTGCGCTCACTTCTGACTTGTCCCACAGACCGAGGTCTTCACCAGAAGGTGAAATTGCCTAGTGCAACCGTAAGCATGCCACCAGGAAAGGCAACTTACCAGTGACCCCAGCAAACAAACACAGCCCATGCTAAGTAAGTAGTTGCTTTGAAAAAGATCATGACAGCCACAGCCTGCAAATACTGCTAAGCCCTTCTCTAAAAAGTCATGTTTGCTTATGGTCAAATTCCAGTGCTATGGGCTGAATGATTGGTAGCCGGAGCTTGGCCTTTTGTGGGCCTGTCCTGCCAGGTCACAGGGTGATCCACACTCTTGGGGATTAACCAGCCATAGAACCGGCTCTCCTGGTCTCAGCTCAGCCCTTCCAATTGTCAGCTTGTCTCCAAGTCAATGGAGAGAGAGGAAAGGTAGGAGAAAGGGTAGGGGGCAGGGAACAGGCAAAGCAGGTAATTTGTTCCCTTCTGGGGCCAGGAGCTGCTCTCCTGGCAGGGGGTTTGGGGACTGGAGTTCTAGCTGGCTTGCTGGCTAATCTTTCTCAATGTGGTTGACTGGCGTAATTAAAGGGCTGTTGTGAGAAGAGGGTGGGAATCTTGCTTTGTCCAGTCCCTCATTTCCCCCTGAGGACTACAAGCCTGCCCATGATACTCAGTAGGCTGACCAAGGATCTGATTAGATCTCCAGCAGGAGACAGGGCCCAAGGCTAGGCCTTCCAATATGATAAACCTAGGTCACTGACCAGCATGCTACAGGCAATTCCCTTGACTTGAAGGCAGGGGACTAGGGGCAGGTGACAGGAGTGACAAGGGTCAAGAACTGCCTGTGTGCCAGGGCAGAGCCTTGGTCCTGGCGAGGGCCCACCTGGCTGCTGGGCACCAGGGAGAGGAAAGCTGGGCCCCGCTCAGAAGGAAGCATGCTGAAACACCAACAAAGGGGCCTCCCTCCTACACCCTGGGGCCGTGAATCACAGGCCTTTGGGGAAGTGCCAAAGTCACTGTGACACAGCAAGAATCTTATCCAAGAATCTTATCGGCCCAAGGGGGAAGTTAGCCCAGAAGTGTTCTGAGGAAGGGGTGGGGCTGGTTCAGGTAGGGAATCTGTGGCCCAGAGGGGTCAGGGGTTGCTGAGCACACCCCCAGGCCTTATTTCCCTTTTGCTCCTCCATGCTGTGTACGAAAGGGCCCTGGCTAGCTTCTCAGGGATCTTCGGAGCAGGAGTAAGCTGAGGCTTTCCAACTCCATGCTTTTCCCCCCATGATGGTCCTCAAGGAAAGACGAGTTTGTTTCACTCCAGAGCATTCTGGGCTGTCAAAGTGAGCCCTCCCTTCCCTTCCAGGGCCAGGGGAGGGAGGAAAGGAGGTGGCTACACAGCAGGCAGAGAGCAAGTGGCTCAAGCCGCATTTTGTAACTCTCAGGCAGGGCCAGAGGCCCAGGAAGGAAGCTGCAGTGGGGTGAAGGTTGGGTAAGTGGATGCAGGAGGCAGAGGGGCAGCATGGCCACGTGGGTTCAACCTGCCCAGGCTCTGGGCTTGCCAGCCACTGGCCTTCTGGTGGCTTCTGGCTCATGCCCAACTTGTCTGGCTTGGGGCTTTGCCTTTGCTCAGAAGGTTCCCAGGGGCCTGAGCAACAGTGGCCACAGCTGCCAAGTGCTTCCCCAGGGCCTCTCCTTGACCTGCTTGCTTCTCCTGTCACAGGTGCTGCCCAGTGCCCAGCATAAGGCTGGGGACAGCAGAAGCTTGCAAGGGCTAGTTGTCAATGACTGAAGTGAACTTGCGATTTCCTGGAGTGCTGCCCTGCCCACCTCTCTGGGTACTGCTCGAGCAGCCTGGGTGGACGCCTCCAAGGGAGACTTGCCCATGACGTTTTAGTTCATCTAAGTAGGAAGAGAAAGTGAGATTACACAGACTCCTAAGGGGGGGTCTCTGGACCCTACTCCTCACTGCCAGGGCTAGCACTTCTCATTTTTGCCCTGAAGCCTCTGGTTCTTATCTCCTGAGCAAGGAGCCCAGAGGGGAGCACAGCTAACAGCGATGGGAGAGTTACCTAAGCCCAGGCTAAAAAGCGAAGACCTGCTAACTGAAAGGTCAGCAGATCAAGCTCATCCAGTAGCTCTGCAGGACAAAGAGGAGACAGTTTGCTTCTGTAAAGATCACAGCCTAGAAAATCCTCCTGTGCCACCTCGGGTCACTTTCAGCCACAGGTGAAGACAGGAGACCTGTGGCTTACATTCCAAAGCTCTCTTCTAGTGCAGCTGTGGCCCAAAGCCTCAGGCATTCACTGTTCGTTCTCTACTCGGGCCACTGGGTACATCTATACCTAGTGCTCTGCCAGCGCGTTGTGGTGATGGTTGTTGTGCAGATGATTAATGACAGAAGAGAAGAACATTCTCCTTGAACCTGTATCTGGGGCTACGGGGCTCTCAGGAGGCCAGGGCCTTCACCTGAGTGAAGCACCTCCTGCCCTGGGCTAGACTCTTTTCTCTTTCACTGGCTTTTATCTTGCATTACAGCTCAGTTTGGCTCTGGTGCCTCATTATTTTTAGCTTGGCTTTCCAATTTCTGACCAGAGACACAAAACTATGCCAGAGACGTTGCAGGCTCTGCCACCGGGGTGGTACGAGAAAGAAGCAAGGGAACAAGTGCCTCCAGCGAGGAGGGGAAGTGGGTCTGTGGGGGGAGCTGCTGGCCACTCCGCTAGGCTCCAGCTGGAGTTGGGACAGAATTCTTGCTCAAGAATCTGCTCACAGTTTCTAGCAAACATGGCCACTCCAGCTACTGGCTGCATTTGTGAGGCTGCCTGTGTGCGTCTCACATGAAGCGGCTGGGACTGGGGCCCACCCCTTTAAGAGGACCTTTGCTTTCTTACAGTTCCCATCCACCCCGTACTTTTGTTCTGGTGACACCTCTGCTTTCCCAACCATCCCTCAATCTCTCCTCCGAGAGCAGGCCTAGGCACAGCTCCTTCGCAGACTTAAGTGTTGGCCCCTGAGATCATGAGGAGGTAGCAAGAGGTGTCACACGGGTTGACTGACTGAGTGTGTTTGTTAAGTTACAAATAAGAGTCCAAAAGACAGCATGGAGAGAAGAGCCTTCCTGGCTTGAACTTGACTCTGAGGAGGATGAGGCAGAGGTAGTGGTGGAAGAGGAAGTAGAGAAAGTAGGTGGTGGAAGGAGAGGAGGAGGAGGAGGAGGAGGAGGAGGTGGAGGTAGTGGTGGTAAAAGTGGAGGAGGAGGAGGAGGTGGTGGTGGAGGTGGTAGAGAAGGCAGGTGGTGGTGGTTGAGGAGATGGTGGAGGAGGTGGAGGTGGTGGTGAAGGTAGGTGCTGGTGGATGTGGAGGAGGTGGTGAAGGAGAAGGAGGTGAAGGAGGAGG